AGTTTGAGAAGGAAATCAGGAAAATAATGTCATTCACAATGGCTTCAAAAAATTAAATACTTAGGAATAAATTTAATGGGTGTGAAAGACCTATACAATGAAAATTACAAGTCACTAAAGGGAAAAATCAAGGAAGACATTAGATGATGGAGCAACACCCCATCCTCATGATGAGCAAAATCAATATTATGAAAATGGCTTTACTACCAAAGCAAGATATATGTCCAATAAAAGTCCATCAAAATTCCAATAACATTCTTCACCAAGATAGAAAAGTTAATCCTAAAGTTCATATGTAAGCACAAAAGACTTCAAATAACCAAAGCAAAAAGACTCAGATAACTATTTGCTCAAGTAACTGAGCAAAAAGAGCAATTCTGAAGGTATGACAATACTAGACTTCAAACTAATACTACAGAGCCATAGTAATAAAAATAGCATGGTATTGTCACAAAACCAGACATAAAGACCATGGAATAGAATAGAAGATACAAACACATGCAGCTATTTGACTTTCAAATAGGAGACCAAAAAATGCATTGGAGAAAAGATAGCCTCTTCAACAGATGGTGCTGGAAAAACTGGATATCCACCTGCAGAAGACTGAAACTAGATCCCAGTCTCTCACCTTATACTAGTATCAATTCAAGGTAGATCAAAGATCTTCATTAAGATGTGAAATTACTCCTGGAAAAAAATAGGGAATACACTGGATCATATAAGTATAGGCAATTACTTTAGAATAGAACAATAGCTAAGCAATTAAGAGAAAGGATTGACAAGAGGAATTGCATCAAACTAATAAGATTCTGCACAGAAAGAAAACAGTCACTAGACTGGAGAGGCAGCCTACAGAAAAGGAGAGAAATCTTTGCCAACTATGAAATTAATAACCAGAATATACAGGGAGCTCATAAAACTAACCCCTCAAAGAATAACCCACTGAATAGAGGGGCAAATGAACAGAACAGCAATACCCAAAAGAAGTACAAATGACCAATAAATACATGAAAAATGCTCATCATACTTGGCCATAAAGGAAATGCAAATCAAAAGTTCCTGTCAGAATGACTATCATCAATAACACAAACATCAATGCTGGCAACATCAGATATTGGGGGTGGGAAGGAACACATCTACATGGTTGGGGGGCGGAATAGAAATTAGTGCAACTGCTACGGAAAGCAATATGGACGTCCCTCCAAAAACTACAAAGAGAACTACCATCCGATCTAGATGTACCACTGCTGGACATGTACCTGAAGGAATGTGCACCAGGATACTACAGAACCACTCCCACACCCATATTTATTGTAGCACTACTCACAATAGCCAAGCTTCGTAAACAGCCCAGATGCCCCACAACTGATGAACAGGCTTTTTTACATGTGGTATATGAGTATTATTCAGCCAAAAAGATGAATGGAATTACGTTGTTTGCAGGTAAATGGACAGAACTGGAGAACATCATGTTAAGTAAGCCAGGTTCAAAAGGTCAAAGGTTGAATGTTTTCCCTCATGAATGTGCTAGACCTGTAAGATAAATGAACACATAAATATATACATGATTATGTATATACATATATATAATATATATATTATATATATATATGTCAGAGAGAGAGCATGATTATATTTGTGACCCTATCTGAGGGAGCTACAATAATTGCAAATAGATATTGATGCACCTTAAGTTCTGAGGAAGAAACAAAAACAAGTCAAAAACTAGTGGACAGAAAGAAATAACAAAAAGACAGAAATAGGGACCAAAAAACCTATACACAGTAAGTTGGTTCTTCAAAGATAACACTGATATACCATTGGTCAATCTGACTAGGAAGAGGGGAAAACCCAAATTAATAAAATTAGAGATGAAAAGGGAGATATCATAACAAACACCAATGAAATCCAGAGGATCATGAGGGGATACTTTGAAAACTTACATTCAAAAAAACTGGAAACTTCTTCTTTTAGAAGAAATGGATACATTTCTAGATGTATTTGACCAGTCTCCCCCAGACTGCTCCCTTTATTCCTTCTCTGTTTGCTTTGCTCTCTGCACATCTCCATCTGACCTCTGTCCTTGAGACTAATCCAGAGATAGAATACTCAACTGTGTGCACCTTCTTTTGGTGCCTAAAAAACAAAAGGCAGAGTGGCTAAGTCCCACTGAGAATTGCCACAGTGACGGCAGCTTTTCAATTAGGGAAACAAACCCCAGGCAGGGTCAGCTGTTATTGTGCTAAAAGAAGTGGCTTCTCTAAGCTATATTTATATGGGAACACCAAATGTTTTTCTAGTTAGCCTACTCAATGTTGGAGAAGGGTTTTCCTTGGAAAAATTAAAGACATGGAAATCAGCATAACTGGAAGCTAGAAATGACTTTTCACTGGTGAAATTAACACTATATGAGAGGTGAGCTGGCTAAAACATTTCAGAGACCCTCCCCACTCACAGGGACAGAATCTGAGATAGAGGACATGGAGACTGTATCTTTACAGATGTACCTGGAATGTATCTGGTGTGGTCAACCTCAGGGTTGGATTTCTAGTTGACTGGTACTAACATATTTACAACATAATCATGACTTGAGTGAACCTTCTAGGCAGCATGCAAAAGGACAGAGCACTGTGACTTAATCAGCTTCCAGTACAAGGTGAATGAAAGGTTCTGTGCCCCACTGGCAAACACTTATTTAATAAATGCCAATGTGTTTGATGAAAATTGCTCTGAAATGTGCCTTCATTACCACCTGAGGGTGAGGTTTGTTGGAATAGCCAAAGTGGACTTATTCAGACTTTTAAGTAGCTATCATTACTTACCACACAGAAACCCAATAACTATGCATTTATGACGTTTGATAGCTCAGCTTGATTTGATGGTGGGTGACAGACTCAGGCTCCCAGAAATTATCCTGCAATGACAGCATCCACTCACACCTGCATCCTTCTTCCTCATAACACAGAAAGGGTGTGTCTGGCTAGGGAAATAGTGAAGTGGAGGAAAACAGAGTACTCTTGCTTCTCTCTCACCACTCCTGATGCCTTTTAAAGAAAGGAGCATTTGAGGCATGAAAAAAAAATCAAAGGTTTGATCTGGGAATGTAGCTCAGTGGTAAAGTATTTGCCTAACATGCACAGTTCCCTGAAGTTGATTTCCAGTACCACAATAAATAAACAAAAAGTTGGATTCAAATTTTTATTTATCTTACACATAGCAATGTTATGTTGGTAATCAGATCTTTTGACCTATGCAGGCTTTGGTCTCTAATTCCAGTCAATGACTGTCCCGTGGGACAACATCTAGGCTCTCTATAGCTATTTAAGGTCAAACATTTTAAGGAGCACCATCTCCCTCCCCCTATTCCCACAGCCCCAGTACCAGGAGTGTCACTCTTGGAGCTTAGTAAACCTTCAATCCCCTCCAACTGAAATTGATTCTATGGCCATGTTAGAAGTATGTATTAACCTTCCTTGGCAGAGCTGATTGGTCTGGGGGGGTCATGTGACCCAAGGGCAGCCAATAGACAGGCTGAACGTGGCACACTAAGCAAATCAGAATTTTCTCTCCGAAATTTGTGCTGGGAGTCCAGATCTATAAGGAGACAGAAAAGCTGATGTTGACCTGATGAGGGAAGAGAAGGGCAAATAGGAATGAGACAGATAAAATGGCCCAACTCTCCACATGGGTATTTGGCTAAGAGTAAAAGACTCCAAAATAGTTTAAAACACTATTAATGTTAATGTTAGTGTACACACCCCCTTTTAATGTTTATTTTTCCTTTAGAGAAGCTAAGATGTAGGAATTGGGGCAATTTGACTCCCTAATTGACATTTGTTAGACCATTCCCTGGTACCTGGCTGCCTTGAGCAAAGGACTGTCAGAAAATAGGCTTTGGCAGCCAACTGAACTGACTTCATGACAGCTTAACTGCTTTGAACATCACCAATGCCTTGAAGAAGCTACATGGGAAACACAGTTGCTTCTGTTGAAGCACAGTGATGGCTTCAAAAGGCACTATTCCAGCCATGACTGTTTCAAACAATGTGACCACCTTTATACCGTCACAAGCTCAGTGAACTCCAGAAGACATTTCACAAGGCAGGAGAAGCACTTCCTCTGGTGGCCCAGCAGAAGGCCTGTGATTGGTACAAATCAGACCTTCCTGCAATTGCATGAAGGAATGTGCCATGATTGGTGTAAATGCCCTTGCCACACACACTCCTTCTGGCAAAATAAGCAGGCTGTTCAGCACACTTTTCAAGTGAGCCAAGAAACACCTTCCAATGCTGCCTCTTGTGTTGCAGTGTTAAGTCAACTAGAAGGCTTCTCTCAAGTGGTCATTTCTTGCCTGCTTTGTCTTTATCAGTAGTAGAGTGGGATGAAATAGTAGCACAAACAGGAGACAGAAGCAGCTGCTGAAGAGTTCCCAAAAGCAGTTGGGTGACAGAAATTAATGGGAAGCAAAGGCAGCCGAGCAGAGATAAGAAACTATGGTCCTGGACACTGGAAGAATTCCAGGAGGCTGCCAAGACTTTAGGACCAAGGGTTCCAACACCCTAAGGCCAAGATCTGTAACACTGCTTGTTGTCTGAGGGCCACCCAGGAGCTGTAACAATAGTAGGTACTGTTTGCTGTTACCTGCTGTTGCCACTCACTGCTGATGGAAGCCAAGGATTACAGCCAAGTGTCAAGATACTGGATGTTAAAGCCCAAAGTAATAAGTCTACAACATGAGTGCCTAGAAACATAAGTCTCTGACTCAAAATTCTGGAGAAATAGGCCTCTAGCTTTGAGAACTTGGAGATGTAAGCCTCAGGGTTTGCCATTCTAGCCACTAGGACTTGGGCACGCAAGAGTCCAGTACTGCCAATACTAGAAGAGCCTCTCCTCACCCACCCATGATTTCTATCCAAGTGGGACAAAAAGACCCAAGGCAGATGACTTGTAATAGTAACATGGGATCAGCGACTTGGAGGTCATAGCCTGCAGAAGTGGTAGGGAAGCAGGAGCACTGGGGAGGTTGAAGAGACAAAGCAGAGGAAAGATGTGGAGAGCAGAGGGAAAAAAGAATACTAGTCATTGTTGGAGTCAAGAAGAAGAAGGGGACTCTGGTGACCAAGTCACATGATACTTCTACAAAATTCCAGCTGCCCTGGAAGGCCCAATGGTTCCCCCAATTTGCCCATCAGTCAGGTCTGTCTCTCCCTGCCTCTCACCATAAAAAGATCACAGCATCCAAGAGGAAACAGGAAAGTGGTGAAGGTCCATGAGCTTTAGTCAGATGAGGCTGAAATAACGACCTCTATAGCCTGGGTGTCTTAAACAACAGGATTTTATTTCTTGCAGTTCTGGAGGTTGATGTCTTTGTCCATTTTATGATGCTAATTATACAATATCATAGACTGTATAAGTTATGAAGAAAAAAAGTGTATTTGTGGTTGTGGTCCCAGGAAAGCACATTGCATCTGCTGATGGCTTTCTTGCTGGCAAAGTTCTGAGGCATCACAGGACATCACATGGCCACAGACATGGAGTGTGCAAAAGACTTAGCCAAACTGGACTCTCAAGATAACCCATTAGCTCATCAACCCATTAATCTATTAATTAATGACATGAATGATTTAATCCTGGTCCTGCTTCCTATTATCTCCTCAGGAATATTAAATTTCAGCATAAATTTTGGGACAAGCTATATTCAAACCATAACAGCTGGGAAGTCAAAGATCAATGTATTGGCATAATTGGTGTTATTCTGGAGAGATGCCCTTCCTGTCATGCAGATGGCCACCTGCACAGTATGTCTGCACATGGCAGAGGGAGAGAAAAAGAGAGTGCTTGTTTTTCTTCTTCTTATAAGGACACTAATTACAACATAGTGTCCTTATCCTCCCCCATCTCATCTAAACTTAATCACCTCCCAATGTCCCCAACCTCCAAATACTATCACATTGGAGATTAGGACTTCAACATATAAATTTGGGGTGGGAGGGGAAAACAAACATTGAGTCCATTATAGTTTTCAACTGTCTTTAATAGAATTTACACTATGCTACATTTCTCCCAAATAAAATCATCCAGTTTTATTTGGCTCCATTTAAATAAGAATTCTTGATAACAAAAGACAGTGAAATAAATTAAATAAACCCTACTCCTGCTGGCTAGACAAAATTCTTCCATGCTAACTGGCACCACCAAGACAATGCTGTGGATTTATTGCTTTTCCTGCTTGCATCTGGACAGTAGGCAACTGAAGAGTCCTAGAGTTGCCAGGACACCTGCTGTCACAACTGCTTTCATGGTAGCCTCAGTGACCTGCAGAAGAGAAAGGAACACACTCCATCAAGAGTCTGACCACAGGCAAAGTAGCACCTCCTCAGATTTGGTGATCAGGCTAGGTCCCCAGACTTTCACACTCTAAATGGCTTACAGTGGAAAGCCACAGACTATGTTTTGATGAGTACTCAAATTGTTATAGACATCAGGATCATTGTTCTCCCTTAGGGACCAGGACCTAGAGTAATAGCTGTTAAAGGCTGAGGAGTACCTGTCTTGAAAGTGGGATTTGACTGTTTTATTTTTTTTCTTGGTTACTTAGCTAGCTCTTGTTTATTACTGGTTCATTCAGTGCACTTTTGATACCCTCATTTCTGAGTCAATCTCTTCCATAACCCCTATTGCAGTACCTAAAACAGCAGGTCCCTCTCTCCATAACAGCAAGGTCCTGCCTTACACAGCAAAGTATTCCCATAACCTAATCTAGTGATGGTTTTGTTGTGGTCATCCATCTCCTAATTCAAGAGTAGGACCGTGGATATGTGTACAAGGAACCTACAGCTCAGAAAAAACCTATATGGACTTTTCCTCCTCATATGTGTCACAGGTAGAACAAATTTTGGCAAAGAAGGTGAATCCCAAATGAGCAGGCCAGCTACGATAGAGAAGAGGAGGTGCCTTGTAGGGAAAGAATTATTGGAAAATGAGCTATAAATATGAAATGTAAGAGACTTAAAGGAGGAAAACTAGATATATTCTGTAGGTACTTAAAGCATAATGAGCCCACAGGGAGTAGCTGTGAAGAGAAAAGAGGGGCAGAGCCAAAATGTTGTAGGTCAGTGTGTGGAGCTGGAGAAATCACCCCTGTGAGCACTCACAACCCAAGGTTTGAGTACAGGGACCTCACCTGGACTGTTCTTGGGAAAATGAGAAAATGAGACTATTCTCTGAGACAATGGAGGAGATGTGAGGGTGACCCTTGAGGGTAGGTGTACTCAGCACAGGTGGTGTGAGCCACTGATGTGGCCAACTGTGACTTGTGGGCCCAGTCATTGTGACTGAGACCAGTGGAGGAGGAAACTGGAGTTAGAAAGAACCACAAAAACAAGAAGTCTGCTTTCTAAGTGTCAGCACTGTGCTGGACACTTCATAGACCATGCTTTTCTCTTAATACAACAATCCTACAAGGTTGGCATTCTAATCCCCATTTTCCAGAGGTGAAGACTAAGGGTGGACAGTGCAAAGATTTGCCTTTTTGATGCCACCCAAAATGTGTGACATAGTTTTCTAAGTTCTTCAGAACAAGATTTGAAAATTATGGGCCCTCAGTCAAATCCAGGCCATGACCAAGTTTTGTAATAACAACTAAATAAAAAGAAAGTTCCACTGGAACTTAGGCTGCCCATTCTTTTGCATACTTCTGTGACAAGAACAATGAGAGAGACCACCTGGCCCACAAAATCTGAAATAGTCCCTGACCATTTGCAGGAAAAACAGTGGCCAATATGACCAGGTACTCCCTCCCTCTGGTTCACACTGTTTCTTCTGTCTACAGCCCCAACAGGCCTTATTCACCAGTAATCTCCAACTGGTATGTATGGTAGTATGGAAGTTTCCACTTCCATATTAATCAAAGAATCAAATCAGGCTATTGCCTCTCCTATGAAGCCTTCCTTGATTAGAGCCCTTGGGTTGAAATTCCACTTCTACACTAGAAGTGAGGTACTAGAGAGTCAAAATCTCATAGATTAATGATCTTGGGAAATTAGCAATGTGAGCCTCAGTTTCCTCCTCTCTAATTCTGCCCATAAGGAGGGGAGGGTCATCTCAAGGCCAGACAACCAGGAAAGGTTAGACAATGAGACTGATTCACATGTCCATGACTCACTTACCTGGCTGTCACTTCTCAATGCACTGATCTGCATTGTCAATTTACCTATCTGTCTCCCCTCCATTGTCCCCAACCCAAACATGACATCCTCAAGGGCAGGGACTTCATCCCTGCTATTTTGTCTTGTTCATGTCTCTATCACCATCCTGGTCCAGCCATAGCAGGTGACCCACAGGGATGGTCTGGTTCCTGGGAAAGGGGACACGGGCTGAGGACTCACCTGGTCACTGATGGGAATGCCGTACCGCATCTCATTCACAAAGTGCTCACAGTTCTTGCTGGTCAGTGAATAGTGTACCACCTGCCCCACCAACTTCTTTGCCTGCTGGACAATTTTAGTGGCAGGAAATGGTGGATACTTATCATCGTGTTTGTTATTGACCCGGTACTGGTCTCCCCCAGCCACCACAGTCAGCAGTTCCTTCTTCACTATGGCTGTGTCAGTCAGGGCAGACATGATGCTGTCTGTACCAACCCCTGTGATTTCACCTGTGGAAACAGTGAGTTCAGTGAGTTCAGTCCTAGGCAGGGCCAAAGGAAGAGAGAGCTTTGTTGCCCTTGGCACCATCAATAAGGCAGAGCTATCAAAGGGCCTGCCCTACTTGAGTGGCCTCAAACTCAAGAAATAAATCCAAGCCTGAACAGCTTTGGACAGGTATCTGGTTTCCATGTGTTTAAAATGGAGTATGTTATTTCTAAAGAATAAAATGGGTTCAGAGGTCCCCGAAGCAGCCAACAGTTGAGACAAAATGGTACAGGGCAAAATGAGGCAGAATATAGTCGAGTCCTAGTCCTGGCTTCCTCTTGCTAACCTATAGCCATAAAAAAGTCACTTGACTTCTTGGCCAGTGCCATGGGAGTTCTATCAGGCTAGGTCTGCATTTGAAGTAGTAAGAAGGGAACCAGCTGAGGAAGAAGAGACTCAGACCTCCAGATCCCAGCCCAGGCTCACTCACTGAGAAAACAATGTTTTCTCAGGCAAATCTCCTCTCTTAGGGCCCCATTCTTATCATTCACAAACTGAAGAAATTGGACCAGATAATGTCCATACCCTCCATCTCTAAATCCTCTGATTTGCTTCTAAAAGGAACCCTACTTTTTTTCATTCCTGAGAGACTGGAATGAGACAGTGGCAAAACTGATGTTGGCTGTGATGGACCCAGCTCACAGATGTTGCAAGACAGAGAAACTAAACCTGACTTTACAACAGCTGAGGGTAATGTCTGGCTCCTTGAGAAATGGCACAGACTAAGGACACACTTGACACTTTGGTGTCAGCACATTAGCAAATTAGCACAGCTCATTAGCAAAGAGCTCACTCCTTAGGCCCCTCCATAAACTCCACAACCCAACCTTCTCACTATATGCATACCTGGGTAGAATATTGTCTGCCTTGTTGTCCATGACAAGGACAGGGTTCTGTATGTAAGCTCCCCTCATAAATATTTTAAACTGATTAGTCTTGTATTTAGTGCTTTTGTTCTTTGGAATCCCAACCATGCCCATCTTGGGATGATGTGGAGCAGTCCCTTGCAGAAACCCCAGTGCCACTACTTTGGGGGCAAATCTAGCCATGGCTCAACTGGATAGAAAACAAGGGCACTTTCCTATTTCTGTGTTAAGTGATAGTTACACTAGTATGTGCATTTGTCCAAACTTACAGAATTGTATGCTAAAAAGGTAAATTGTATTATTTGCAAATTATTCTAAATAAGTTTAATTTTTTAAATATATGTGGGAAACCAATATATAATGAGAAAGCAAAATGGTGGTCACAGTTTAAATATATCCTAACCCTGCACCAAACACTTATACTTAGAAAAATCAAAACTTAAAACTCAGGCAGATATCAGGAGGATCACAGTTTGAGGCCAGTCATCTCAACACACAAGACAGTTATGATGGGCCAAGTTTGTAATTCCTTCTATGTAGGGTATATAGGTAGGAGGATAATAGTCTGAGGTCAGCACCAGGTAAAGAGAGAAAGACCCTATCAGAAAAATAACCTAAAAGCAAAAATGTTAGTAGTGTAGCTTAAGTGGGAGAGCACCTGCCTAGCAAGTACAAGGCCTTGATTTCAAACTCCAGTGCCATCAAAAAAAAACTTAAAACTGCCAAAATTTCCCCCAAAATGTTAACTCTAACATTAGTAAAGCCCCAACTATTTTCACTTCAACATACCTTACAGCTTCCTAGCCAAACAAGTAAATTCATGCAGCACTACTGCCTCAAGGGAAGTCTCCAGTGGCCAATCCCAACTGGGAACAGTGTGCGTCCCCATGCACGCTTCATAAACTGAGCTGCAACTGCTGCCAGCCAAGCTTCTTGCTATTTTCACTTTCAAGTTCCCAGTTTTGGAACTGCTACTTTGTATGTACAAAAAAAACCTTTAAATTTCTCTAACATAGTATTTTTGACAGTTTCTGGTGTCAGAAGTAGGATTCAAAGATTAACAGCACCAACTTTTGCTGATCCCAGAGGACAGGGAGTAACCAGAGACCATCATCTACAGAGCCTCTTGTGATCATCAGTTTCTTGCTGACCACAGAGTTCAAGGATGTCTCCCTCAGATTCACTCCTTTGGCATGTTGAGCTCTCTAGGCTCATTGTGGATGCATGTATTATGTTGATGCTGCTTGGTAAGTCACACTTTTGGCAATATGGGGAGAAAACATATGATTCTCTTGGCTTCTAGATATTGGCAAAATTACTGTGCCCCCAATATAATCATCGTAGGGAATCAAAAGGTAAATATGGATTCTATCTTTCACTACTTCCATCAAATTAAAATTTCTTATGGATCCTGTGACCCAGGGCTTTCTGATTTATATTAATTTGTTCATATGATAGAGGGATGCTCCAAATTTGTTAGGAAAGTAAAACTATGATAATACAACTAAAGATTTGAGCATCTTACCACTATGTCTCCAAAGAAGGAATAAAAAGGGGAAGAAAATGAGACAATAGTTCCCAGAAGCTATTACATCTCATAAGCTAAACTAGGCCATATCCAATCTTGAACACAGAAAAAGGCTGGATCCACTTCAGATTTCTGAATCTGTCTAGAAGAGATTTTCAAACAACCCTCTGGCCTTAAGGATAAGGATGATGAAGCAGTTCTGTTAACCTGTTTCATTCAATGGACTGATCACAAAAAAACAAGTGACTTACTAAGGAAATGTAAGTTGGAATTGGGCCATGTTTCCTGGTATGTATTGGAAGAACATTAAAACAAAAGAGAACCTATTGGACAAATAAAATTATGACCCTACAATTAGCACAGCAACTGCAGGACCTTGATCTAATTTTAAGAAACCTATTCCCAATTTTGTCCCCAGTAACAGAAATATTTGCCATTATGTAAGCAGAAGGGATATTGGGAAGTTCCTTGATCAATAAAGCAAAATTGGAACAACAGTTCTCATTGGTGATGGGGCTCTATGAAGTCCCTTGGTAAGCGAATGCTAATAATTCCTTTAAACTAACAAGGAGAATAAACTTAAAAATAAATGGAGGAATTTGAAATTTGTACTCTGCTCACAGGTGCCAGAGCAACTCTTTCTGCTTTAATCCACATGATGATATGCAAAGAACTTCCTTAAAGAAATAAAAATATCTCAGGGGTGGGAATTTCTAATCCAGTTCAAAGAGTTCCTTTATCAGAATCCAAACGATTATCTTGGTCACTTGTCTGAAAGTCCTGCTTTTTTGTGGGATACTGCCTCTTTGCATCTCCCAGGTAGAGACCTGCTTTCTAAAGTAGGAAGCTAGAGTTGAGCACAGTGCCTCATACCTGTAGTCCCAGCTACTTGGGAGGCAGAAATCAAGGCGGATCATGTTTTGAGGCCAGCTTGGGAAAAAACTTATAGAGACCCCATCTCAATCAATAAGACAAGGGTAGTGGTATGTACCTGTGACCCAGCCACATGAGATGCTGTAGGTAGGAGGATCATAGCCCAAGGATGAACTGGATGAAAACATGACAAATAAATTGAAAAATAACAAGCACAAAAGGGTTAGGGTTGTGGCTTAAGGGGTAGAACAGCAGCTTAACAAGCACAAGTCCCCAAATCCAAACCCAATCCAGCCAAAAGTAAATAAATAAAGTAAAAAATGAAATTACCTTCAGGAGAAATTACCTTAAAAACCCAGATTCATCAGACACTGAAGCATTAGCATGTCCTCAAGACCTGAATTTATTGTCCTGAGGAGACTACTGAATTCCATAAAGTAGTCAGTTTAATGTCACACATCTCTATTCCCAGCATTCAGAAAAATAAGACAGGAGGAGAATGTGTTGAGGCCAGCCTGCACCAAATGGCAAGTTCTAGGTTACACAGTGAGACCCTGACTAAAAACTAAAAACATAGTCCATAAAAATAGATATTACAAATCTCTCTAAAATCCTTGGCATTCTATGGACCTCCCCTTCTACAGATGTGGGAAAGAATCAAATGTGCCATACCCAATAAAATTCATACTGATCTTCTAAACCACTTCCTATGTGCCTCAGTACACTTCAAAACCTGAAGCCATACAAGGGCTTACCCAACTAATAGATCATTCCCTGAACCAATCTTTGCAATACTCCTATCCTACCTGTGAAGAAACTCCATGGAAGAGGATGGAACTTTATACAAGACCTTAGAGCTTGTGTCGGTGTAAATATACCTGCGTACAACTTCTTCCAGTGGATATACAGCATTCCATTTTTTGCCAGTATATGTATTCTATGTGAAGAGTTCTTACTATTCCTATCAGTGTTTCATCTTTTTCTTTAATGCCATAGCATTTCCAGATGGAAAGCAAGGTTGCTTCAGCACCTGGCCAAGCCCTACACCACTGCTTTCCTATGCACTCCTTCATTTCATTCTCCCTCAACCTGGAGAAAAGGAACTCTTATCAGAAGGTAGAGCTAGACATAGTGAGGCGAAAACACATGTTCAAGTTCACAAAGTCAGTAAGCAGAACAGCCAGGATTCTAAACTGCTTCTGTCCAGTTTGGAGGTCCACACTCCTTCTACTACACTTTGCAGCCAGGTGGAAACTATTTCACGGGAGTGATTGCTTTTTACTGTTGTTTTTCCCTCCAGAACAATAAATACAGGACATTGGACCTATGGAGGAACACTCAACAACCAAGCACCTTGGTTTGGACAGAGTCCCATCATGTAATAAAATAAAAATCAATAGTAATATTATACATACTGATAGGAAGTTATAGAAATTAATACACCTAGTAGGAAACAGTATGATTCATTCATCAAATATAAATATAATTGAGTGCCTACTCTGTGAGACCAAATGATGATCAGCACATAATTGTATCTGTGCAAAATCTTGATCTCAACCTTCATGTTTAAGAGAACTCATGGGCTGAGGATGTAACACAGCAGTAGAGTGCTTGGCTAAGATGCATAAGGCTGAGAGAGAGAGAGACAGAGACAGAGAGAGAGAGAGAAAGAGAACCCTTCTTACTTGGAGGAGCCAGATGAACTACATAGTCTTTTCCCACATAAATGGTCCAGTGTGCATAACCAATGCGAGAAATCTCAATCAGGTCTCCAGGTCTTGGTTTTAGTTGGTTCTGCAGTAGGAAAAACAGAAAGAGGTAGAGGTGAGCTTTGCAGGGAGCATTCTAGAACCTGACCTTCAAATAGCCCTATCCCAGCCTATAGATGCCCTCTGTTCATCCAATAGCAAACAGGGAGGGGGGAAATCTTTCACACAGGTGGGGAGATTTTCCATTTACTAGAGTTGCTAAAGTAAAAACCAGCTCAGGGGACAAGGAGAAAATGGGGATGGTGTGTTTGAGGGACCATGGCAGTCAGTGTACAGCGCAGGACTGCAGTGGAGTGGTTTGCCCAAGATGAGAAAGAGCACATTTTATGCAAGGAGCATATTTGTATCAGTCAGCAAGTGACTACATGATTCCCAAGAAGGTCTAAAATGCCTGGTGAGGGGCCAGAGGCCATGTACCCAGGCCTGAGTGATTCTTGTGATTTACAGAGCTCTATCTTTCAAAGCCCAATGCACCAAACCCTGCTGAACACTTGACCCACATTGTCCCTCACTCCTTTGAGTAAGAACTGTGGTACCCCTTGCTTGGATGATAAGATTAAGTCTGTGGGAGATAGATAACTTTCCAAGACAGTACAAGTACAGTGTGGACTCCTATGACACTATTCACTCCTATGAAAGTTTCCAATGTTTATGCCCTTAACAATCCTTGAAGGTCCTAGACAAGCCTGGGGGGCAACAATCAGGATTAAAGATGACAGGATATGATTTTAGTTGCACAAGCAGGACCATGTTGCTCTTGTTTCAAGAGTTCTATTTCTGTAACACTGTGAGGCCAACCAGTACCTCTCTTTCCCTGCAACTCAGCTGAGCCAGACAACATGGAGTTATTCTCCCCTGACCAGGGAGCTGAGTTGCTGCTCAGAGTTGAAGACCCAGCCAACTGAAGGTCTGGTTGGGATACCGAGTTCAGCAGTATCAGTGTTTGGTATATTGGGGTTTGTAAGTTGAGCTCTGTAGCTCACAAGATTCACTCAGACCCAGGCACATGATAGCTTGCCCAGAATAAGGCCTTTTAGACTTCTTGAGAATCATATAGTCACTTTATGATACAAACATACCCTATATGTAAAATACACTCTGACTCAAATTGGTTGAAGGACAATATTTTTGAAATCCTTTCAGTACATAGATAAGGAGACAACTTGAACAAATATGGACTAATTTGAGCAAAAAAAAAAAGAATCATAAGGTCGGCATGATGGCACATGCCTATAATCCCAGCACTTGGGAGGCTTAGACACTTAGATTTGTGAGTTTCTTAAACAAGATAAATATATTTACATTTTGTTCTTGGAATTAAAGAAATCTTTTTTAAGTAAAGGATTGAAATCAAATACCCCTTATGTCTCTTGGGCAATCCATTCTCTGGTATTAACCAGAATATCATTCCCTACAACTCTAAAATGGGAATTATTTCTATATTACTGGGTTGTTCATTAACAGCCCAGTTTGGTTAAACAAAAGACTAGCATTTTTAGGACATAGCCAATATTCAGGAAATATGGCTGTTATTGAGTCTGAAGGAAAAAGGAACATATAGAAGGTGAATAGAGGGAAGAAAGGGAAAGTTGAGTTGAAGTGGACAAGAACCCTTCCTGACAGCCCCCACTATGGAAAATGGCTGTGAGCCATTTTCCTGCACCCTCCCTCCCTCAGAACACAGTGTGACCCAGAAGGGGGGGCCAGGTACTGGAGCAATGGATTCCTTGTGGAGCCAGCCATTTCTACCCCTTGGGAAGCCCAGAATGTAATTGGGAGTGTGTCTTAAGGAGGGACTGGGAAAACACAAACCCTCTCCCAGGGACTGCAACTCATCCACCTCAGTAAAACCAAACCCCAAGCAACAGGAGGCAGGGAATCTTCCAGGTTCTTGACCCAGCACCATAGTTCCTTTCCTGGGGTGTCTAAGAGAGCCAGGCCCACAGGACTCAGCATGACCCTGTTTTTCCATGTGTCCTCTCTGCCAATGCTACAGACCTTCAAGTAAAACATACATCATCCCTACAAACAGAGTTGTTGCTTTTGCTTTTTAAATTAATACTTTAAAACCCTTTCAGGGGACTTACCGAAGTCATCCATCTGATCGGATGAATTGTGTATTGCTTCCCTGACATCCAATCTTCTGTCAGCCTTAGAGTTCCATTTTTCCTGTAACACTACCCAAACAGCCAAATATATTATAATGTAGATTAATGTTCATGTAAAAATGTTTATATTCTGTCAAGTGCAGGACACATGTCCAGGAGACAAGTAGGTATGGAAACCAATTGGAAGGGAGAGAAATCAAAGCTCAAGATATAGATTCAAAAGGATTTGGTGACAGTTGTGATCAGGGCACAGCCAAAAATCCCAGTTTTGAGGGGAAATTGAAGATGCCATCACAAGGCAAAATAGATTATTCTGAAGACAGACTGCCAATTCTAGCTGTAAAATAAGTCCATACCTCTCACAAGCCTTAAACCCAGTGCAGGGACTTATGACACAGTGACCCACAGACAGTAGGTGGGAGATGGCCACAAGAGGTGGTGGAGGGGAGGAAGAGTGTCTGACATGGTACCACAGAGAAGTTCAAGCTGTGGGGAACTAGATGATAGCACCAGCAACATAGGGCACCAAGAACATAGAGCCTTGCAGTGGTCAGAAGCTTCACTCTCCCTGGCCAGGAGTGAGTCCCATCAGCTGGGACTAGAAAAAAAGAACCCCACCTATGGTGGGATTACTATTAAGCCACCAGGGCCAGCCTCCTGGCTGTGTATGTTGACTGCTAGATGGATCAGAGCACCAAGCCCAGACTCTCTGAATTGTAGCCTCATCCCAAGCACAGGGAGATAAACTGGCAGTCACAACCTAAAAACACTGAGCTCATCCCCTGGGAACTGCATCCTGGCATGTGTTTGCTGATGGTCAGTACTGAAGGCCTAAGTCCAGACCCTCAGAATCATAAAACTTCCACAGCCTCTGCATGGGAAGGAAAACCACAATATGTAGTCTGTAAGCACTGAGACCAACAGACAGAGTGACTAGGTCCCTCAGTTCTCCCACAGAGCTCATTGCTCTGTTTCCTCCTCACACTCCCTGACACATTCAAGAATCACCCCCAAAGCTTGGATGTGTGCTTCCCCTGCGGACAACCAGGGTGTATGTGCCAGGGTCAATAAGGGGGGAACCTACCCATCCCACAAGTTGTGATGCTCCCTGCAGCCAATAACAGCATATGTTACACAAATAAAGGAAAGCTTCTATAGTGAAAGCAGTCCAGAAGAGGACAACCAACCCTTCTACAAGTAACTCCAGCTAGTGTACCTTGATCTGAGCAGTGCTGGGAACCAGTCCTTGTACCCTGAGCATGTGGGTGAATGCTGGGCTATTGAGCCATACTTCACAGTCCAGTGGTGAGAAATAGCACCACAACCCAAATCTACATGTTACCTGAACACTGAGACTAGTCTAACTGAAAGAATATGTGAGATTAAAGCTTTCAACCAACTACTTGGCCTCAGACATGTAAATCCCAACCTAGAAACACAAGTAATATGAAAAAACAAGGCAACAAGTCTCTTCCAAAAGTCAAAAATTCCACAATAAAGGAGTTCAACAATGGGGAGCACATGAAATTTCAAATAATGAATTTGAAAGAATAATTATAAGAATGATTAATGAAATTAAAGAGGATATGTATAAGCACCTGAATAAATTCAAAAAGAATACAAATAAAAAACTGAATGAATTCAAAGAGAATTCAAATAAACATCTGAATTAAACAAGGAAGACAAAGTGGAATATGAAGAAGGAATTCAATAAAGATATAGAAATTCTGGAAAAGTCATTTTGATATCCTGGAAAGAAAAACTCCATAATACAGACAAAAAACTCAACTTAAAGCCTTACTAGTAGAATGGAACAGGGGATAATAGAGTATCACAAATCAAAGATAAGTAGAGGAATTAGATCAATCAGATAATGACAAAAACACTAAAAAAATACAAATGGAACATGCAAGATGTCTAAGATATCATCAAAAAAAAACCTATGCATAATGGGTATAGGAAAAGGACAAGAGATATAACAGCAGAGAAAACATATTCAACAAAATAATAACAGGAAACATCCCCAATCTTGAGAAAGAAAGGGTTATTCAGGTATACAAGGCTTTCAGACCACCCAACAAGCAAGATCAGAAAACAAACACTCCTAGACATATTATAGTTAAAACACTAAATACATGGAACAAAGGAGGAATATTTAAAGCTGTAAGAGAGAAACAACAAGTAAATATAAAGGTAAACTCATCAGAATAACCACAGATTTCTCAACAGAAGCTCTAAAAGCAAAGAGGGCACAGAATGATACATTCTAAGCCCCCCAAAATAACTGTAACCTAGATTTATGTATACAGGAAAGCTATCCTTCATAACTGAAAGATAAATAAAAACCTTGAACAATGAAAAAAATCTAATGGAAAACTTGACCACTAAAACAGCACTGAAAAAGATATTTAAAGGGATCCTACACAAAGAAGAGGAAGATAAACATTAACACTGAATGTTAATAGTCTCAATTCTCTAATTGAAGGACACAGAATGATGGATTGGATTCAAAAGCAAATTCCAAGAAAAATATTTTGAAAAAGAAAAACACTGACTTAGGGTGAAAGGATGGAAAAGATTTTCCAAACAAATGGACCCTGAAAGCAGGCAAGAGTAGCTATGCTCATATCTGATAAAACAGATATCAAACCAAAATTATTCAGAAGAGATAAAGGTTATATATATGAACTAAACCTTGGTGCACCCAATTTCATCAGACAAACACTACTGGATTTAAAAGCACACTACTAGACTCCAACACAATAATAGTGGGAGACTTCAATATACCACTCTCACCTATAAATAGGTTATACACACCAAAAAATCAGCAAAGAAATTTCAGAATTAATCAACACTATACACCAAATGGACTTAACATACATCTACAGAATACTTCATCCAGTGAACCACTGACACAGAAAAGAAGACATGAAAATAGATCCACACAGCTACAGTCATTTGATTTTTGACAAAGAAGCTAAAAAATATATTGGAGAAAACAGCCTCATCAACAAATGATGTGGGGAAACAGGTTATCTGCATGCAGAAGTCTGAAAATATACCCCTGAATCTCACCTTGTACAGAAACCAATTCAACACCTCACTCCTGTTAGAACGGCTATAATCAAGAACACCAACAACAACAAATGTTGGTGAGGATTTGAAGGGAAAGGAACTCTCATACACTGTTGGTGAGAATGTAAATTAGTACAACCACTATGGAAAGCAGTACAGAATTTCCTCAAAAAACTAAAACTAGAACTGCCATATGATCCAGGAAAAGCACTCCTAAGGATATACCCAAATGAATAAAGGTTTCAATAAAGACACCCGCATACCCATGTTTATTGCAGCATTGTTTACAACAGCTAAACTATGGAAACAAGCAAGATGCCCCAAAAACTGATGAATGGATTAAGAAAATGGGATATTTATATACAATGAAATTTTTTTCAGCCATAAAGAAGAATGAAACTTTCTTTCATTTGCAGGTAAATGGATGGAACTGGAGAACATCATCTTGAATGAAGTTGGCCAGGTTCAGAAAGCCAAAAAGCCACATGTTTTCTCTCATATGTGGAAGACAGGCCCAAGACAAATACAAGCAATATTATGAAAAACATGTCACATATGAGAGAGGGAGGGTAAAAGAAGGAAGCTAAGAAGGTGAATATGGTTGATGTAGTTACAATAGTGAATACGGGATTTTTAAACCTGTTGAAATCACAGTAAGAAAGAGACTCAGGTAGAAAGGAAAAAATAGAAGAGTTGAAGCAATTTGGGTTATAACACATAATATATACATGGAATTGTCACAATGAAACTCCCCATATAGCTATCTTAAACAAACAAAAATGGTTTTTTCAAAAATGGAGAGCAGGAGGGTTAAACAGGTCCTGTCTGGGAGTTAGTACCGGTGGGAGGGGGGATAAGGAAAGGTGTGGGAGGTGACTTTGGTGAAAATGTTATGCACTCATGTATGAAAATGGAAAAAAATGAGACTTGTTGAAACTACTCCAGAAATAAGGGAGAAAGGAGATAAAGGAGAAGGATGGAAAGGGTGAATTCAACTATGATATATTGTAAGCATTTTTGTAAAAGTCACAATGTACCCCCAAAACAACAATAATATGATAAAGAAAAGGATCTTAATGTAACATCTGAAACTTTGAAACTACTACAGTAAAACTCTGCAAGATATAGACATAGGTAAATATTTTCTGAATAGGATTCCAATTGCCCAAGAAGTAAAAACAATAATTGACAAATTAAAAAGCTTCTGTGCATCAAATGAGACAATTACCAGAATTAAGAGTTAACACACAGAATGGGAGAAAATTTTCAATATTAATACCCAGAATATACAAAAACCTCAAAAAATCAAACATAAAAACTCCAATTAATAAATGGGCAAATTAATTAAATATACAGTTCTCAGAGAAAGAAGTACAGGTGGCTAATAAATGCACAAAGAAATGTCCAACATTTTAGCTATTAAGGAAGTGCAAATCAAAACTATATTGAAATTTCATCTTATCCCAGACAGAGTAGCAATCATCAAGAAAATAAACAAATGCTGGTGAGGATGTTCAAAGTAAACTGCATGCATCTATGAAATTCTTACAACGCAACTCCCTTATGCTGTTAATGATAAAATTTTGAAGAACTTTTTAAAAAGTTTACAAGACCCCATCTCAACCAATAAAAAACTGAGCATAGAGGTACCTGCCTGTTATCCCTACTACATGGGAAGCATAAGGAGAAGGATTTCAGTCCAGGTCATCCTGGGCATAAATGCAAGACCTTATGTCAACAATAACCGAAGGAAAATGGGGTCAGGGCATGGCTCAACTGGTAGACCCACTGCCTAGTAAGCTCAAGGCCCAGAGTTCACCTCCAAATACACCCCTCCAAAAAAAATTAAAGATAGACCTACCTTATGACCCTGCCATAGCACTCTGGGACATATATCTGAAGAACTGTAAATCAACATACAAGAGAAATACCTGTATACCTATGTTCATTTCAGCACAGTTCACAAGAGCCAAGGTGTAGAATCAGCCTAGGTGCTCCACAACTGATTAATAGATATAGAAAATGTGGCCCCTATCACCACCTACATACCATGGAGCATTATTCACCCTAAGGAAGAATGAAATTATGTCATTTTCAGGAAAACGGATGAAAGTGGAGCTCATCATGTTAAGCAAGATAAGTCAAGCTCCAAAAACCAAATATCACACATTTTCACTCATATGTAGAATCTAGACCTAAAATGATATGATGATGATGATTTATGATAGTGACAATGATGATGATAGGACATGAGTATAAAAGATGGACTGTCTTGGGGGAGGAATCAGAGGGAGGGAAGAAAGTAAGGGGTATTTGGTGGTGAAGAGAATTGAACTGCATTACTTATATAATATACATTATGTAGTATATTTTATATATATATATATATATATATATATATATATATATATATATATGATATATAATGAAACCCACCAAACAATATTTGAAAGAGAAGGAGGAGGGATGGAAGTTAAAGGAATATAATAGAGGGGGTGAACTTCTTCAAAATACACTGTACACACTGTAAGGAATTATCACAATCACAATGAAACCCCCTGTACTATTTATGTATGTTAATTTAAAAGGTAGTAATGAAAAAAGAAAAACCCCAAGTTCCAGGAAGAAAGAAAAGAAATGGGAACAAGTGAGATTAGGTGGGGCTAGGGGGTCAGGATAAAGGAACAGAAGGGGAGGAGTTGTAAGAGTCACACTCCAACATGCAAACTGACCATTGCCAGACCAGGCAGACATTTCCCCAATTTCAAGTCCAACAGCATCAAATAAAGCATGTTGTAGAAGACACATTCTCCCCATTTTTGAAAAAGAGTGAGCCTGCTCCACTAGAGGTGTAGAAAGAAATCACTCCCTTTTCTCTGCCACTGACAGTTCAGAAACACTCCTGCATTCTAGTCCAACTGGAAACCAAACTCCATCATCACCTGGGTTGTAGAGGTTGCTTTTTTACAATTTTATTAGTGTATAATAGTTGTACATGGGAGATGTATTGTGATATTTGCATATGTGCTTACAACATATCTTAGTTAGATTTACCCCTTCAATCATTCTCCCTCTTCTCTCCAGCCCCGCTTCTTAGCACAGTTTCAACAGATTTCATTCTTCTCTTTTCATATATGGATACAAAATACATCCACCATATTCACCCTCATTCCCCTTTTCCTTGTACCCACCCATCTCCTTTTTTGAGGCACCAGCATGCAATCTCACCCAAACGCCAAATAAGAATCTCCAATCCCACCAATATGCACTTATACCTGTTGTATACTAGGCTAATCAGACAGGAAGGAGTGGGTGAGACTGGAAAGAGAACTTAGCACCCTCACTGTGGGTCACGTGGTTAGAGACAAGGATCAGTCAGTTCCTTTCTTTAGACTCTTAGCAAAACTGAGGCTTCAGGAGGACTGGAAGTGAAGCTGGAAATTCAGTCTTCAGAACCACAGCATCTCTGCAGGCCAGCTATTCCCACAGCCCACA